AAAAGGTTATAGTGAAATAAACTTGATGAGTCTTACACTGACACTTACCTTAAGGTACGACAATGTCTAACCCAATATTTCACTACTGAAGAACTTTACAAAACGTACTACAGAAATAACACTTAAAAAGAAACACTTAACCTAACAGTCCAAAACTATATACACCAATAAAACGAAATTAACAGGAACAGTAACGACAAAATAACATAATTAATGAACAAACTAACAGAAACTTATTATGAAACAGAACAATTAACACAAAAAACACTATAAATAATTAGAAAATATTCAATCAAAAGCTATAGGCAATTTCACTATAGACCTCGCATAACCTTCATATATATTATTAGATAACATCTATACATTCATCTAGCGTTAAACAAGGAAAACAAATTGTTCTAACTACTGTTTATTTCGTCAGGCTTTGGAAAATTTAGTACCCTCTTTAACAAAAACTGTTTGGGGTATATTCTTATTCACATATTTTTCTGCATGACATGTAACTTATAAAATAAAATAAAAAAATAATGTTTAAGCATACACTTCGCTCAAATTTTATTTTATTTAAAAAAAAAGAATTATGCGAAGAAGAATATTCTAACAATAAATGTATAATACACGGCATAAGTTTAAAAATATATAGAGCCTCTCACCCCAAAAATTCACTCCCTTCCTCATTGCTCGGTTATTAAATATATTGACAATAACATTAATTTAAATTTTTAAATGGAATGGAAACTTTTTTGCAACTTTGGAGCAAATCAAACAAGCCGCTTCAAGCGAAAGTATTGTATGGAAATTGATATCTACCTATCATTTTTATACAAATCCCCAACTTTTCTCCTATCGTTGAGGTAAATCGATTGAACAATTCTTGAGTTTTAAGTGTATCAACGAAAATATATTTGCACACGCATAAGCGAAAGTAAGCAATGAAATTCCATAAAAATTATATAGTACCATTTCAGGGCAAATCTGTACGATTCCTGTAATTTTCATCAAAATCGAACTAACGCTAGTAGATGTTATATCCTGTACATAGATTCCATTACCGACAGACGGATAAACGCAGGACAGAAAAGTTTCTTGCTAACTGAAACTCAAAACGCGATTTGAAATTTTCTATTATGTGAACAAAATATTTTTAGCCTTTCCGCTTAAACAAAACGCTTCCCTGCGTTCAAGATGATTATACTAGTAACAATAACAAGATAAAATTTAATAATTTTATAATGAGATTCCAGTGCCTATTTAGCGTCGAACAGAATATTTGCTGTACAAAACACACACGAATGAGAAATGCGGACCAACAAAATGGGCTAACATGGAAAATAGGAGTTTATAACTATTTTTAGGTGTTCGAATAAATTCTGAAACATTCCAGAGGCTCACTTACTAAATGATAGTAAGCTGAACCAATTATAAAATAAATAAATCTTTAAAAAATTAGAAACGGAATTTTCGGTGTTTTTTTTTTCAACGAAAACGGGGAGGAAAAAGTCGTTTTAATTTGATACACTAGATTTTACACTAGATTTTTATGTAGCGTTTTTCACACGCGTCAGCCCGCTCGGCTAACCCGCTCCTTTTTTTCTATTCATATTTACTACTCTATACTAAAGTATATTACACGGTGGGCCAGACCCCCTTACCGTGCACCCCCCCCCCCACATCCCTATAAATTGCATATCGTTGTGTTCCTTGTGACAATTTATTAAAAAAAAGGCAATGTTCCCACAAAAAAAAGTGAACGAACTGCCCCAAAATGGCGTCCAAACATGGCGGATTGACGACTTTGACTTTAGTTAGTTTTTTTGTTACTGAGAATCAGCATTTGGCTTAATTTCATTATAGTTGGTCTTTTATTAAAGCTGGATAGTCAGAGAATAAGAAAACATGAAAAAATATTAAAAAATAATTGGCTTAGGCATTAAAAAAAATCGGTAAAGTCAATTTTTTTTACAAAAAAATTTTCAAGTTGAAAATCAAGCGTCGTTTGTAATTAAACGGTCAACAATAATGCAAAACGTGCTGAAATAAAACATCTGGAGAATACATTTCTCTTTCTAAAACACTAATTACTTTTTAAAATATTTGAAGTAGTTCCGTATAAAATGTACTTAAGCGGCAGAATAGCGCTACTGGCGTGGGTGCCTACAGGCCTCTACCACACCACTCAGTACTCATAAATGGCTTAGTTATAGTGCTATAATAGCATTATTGTTATATTTTATTGATTATATTAACGAACAAATATTAATACAATAATTTAATTGTAAAAAATTATTTTTTTTTATTTATTATTTTTGTTTTTATTTTTCATTATTATTTTTTTTTAAATTTAACTTCATTTATTCTATACGGAAATCGCTTAAGAAGGCCTCTATTATAAAAATTATAAAATTATAATAATAAAACTTAATTCAAAAATACTTTGCAGAATATCTTGATTTTTTAATTTAATATTTGCAATTTAACATTTTGTTTTATATATTTACTGATTCTTAGAGGTAATTTAAATTGTATATACTTCCCCGGAAATGAGTCATATTAATACCTGTTTTATAAACTAAAATAATATATACCTAATCTGAACTGCTTTTAATGAATAGGTGATGGATTGTTTAGTAAAATTGTTATATCGCTATTAAAAAAACCATTTTTATTTCCTTTATTTTATTCGGAAGTTGGACCATATCATAAAAAATTGGAACTTTTAATATTAAAGTGCATTATTCCCTCTGCACAAAAGAAATATGGAAAGGGCGAAGCTATAAGTTCTTCTAGGTAACTGGAACTGATTGTTAGTATTTGGTCTCAAAATGAGTGAAAATGCAAAATTGAACCCAAACATTGGAAAAATACATTAAGCGAACGACAATGCCAAAATTTCGGTAAAAAAACCAAGGATCAGTATCCATTATATGGCTAAATGAATATATAGTAGACAGATGAACAGAATATTTCAAGATTCTGCTAAAAGGGGGTAAAAATGCTTGATTAGTTTGGATGATATTAAGCAGGTTTATTATGGTGAAGAACATTTCATCAGCAAGAAAGATTTGTTCTAAGCAAGTGGCAAGTCAGCTGGTCTGGAAGAAGTAACCCGAAATGCTGTGCGTACAAAGGCTACAAATGTATTAGAAAATGATATAGAAGGACTGCAGTTTTGTCCCTTTTCAGGAAATGAGATACTAGGAAATGTTATTCGAGATTCCTTACTGTTTATAGTACCAAAGAAAGTCTACTCAAGAATCGTATAAGCTAAAATTAGAAATATTGTCGATTGCCTAAGCGATATGGATTGAGAAACTCAAGTTGCACATTGGAACATAAGTTGCAAATTGGGACTGTCTTCACTTTAACTGAGGTTATAGAGAAGTCCACAGAGAAAGAAAAATGGTTCTCTATCTGCTTAGTGCCTCACACTTTGGCTCTGAAAGGATGAGCTCGTTTTCCTTTCAGATTCCTTCAAAAATCTTTTGCAATTGCACTAAACAGGAGCAGAGCTATTTCCTTTTATCGATAGACCTCTGTATAACCTGCTTCAAAGTGAAGATAGTCCCAATGTACAACTTCAATAGCAATCTAATATAAAGTGGTTTACAACATTATCAACCTCGTTTACTTCCTCCAGACCTGCTTGCCAATTGCTTAGAGCAAATCTTTCTTGCTGATAAAGTGGTCTTCACCATAATAAACCTGCTTAATATCATCCAAACTCATCAAGCATTTTGACCCTCTTTTAGCAGCATCTCGAAATATTCTGTTCATCTGTCTACTATATATTCATTTAGCCATATAATGGATACTGATCCTTGTTTTCTTTTCCGAAATTTTGGCACTGTCGTTCGCTTTATGTATTTTTCCAATGTTTGGGTTCAATTTCGTGTTTTCACTCATTTTGAGACCAAATACTAACAATCAGTTCCAGTTACCTAGAAGAACTTATTGCTTCGCCCTTTCCATACTTCTTTTGTGCAGAGGGAATAATGCACTTTAATATTAAAAGTTCCAATTTTTTATGATATGGTCCAACTTCCGAATAAAATAAAGGAAATAAAAATGGTTTTTTTAATAGCGGTATAACAATTTTACTAAACAATCCATCACCTATTCATTAAAAGCAGTTCAGATTAGGTATATATTATTTTAGTTTATAAAACAGGTATTAATATGACTCATTTCCGGGGAAGTATATACAATTTAAATTACCTCTAAGAATCAGTAAATATATAAAACAAAATGTTAAATTGCAAATATTAAATTAAAAAATCAAGATATTCTGCAAAGTATTTTTGAATTAAGTTTTATTATTATAATTTTATAATTTTTATAATAGAGGCCTTCTTAAGCGATTTCCGTATAGAATAAATGAAGTTAAATTTAAAAAAAAATAATAATGAAAAATAAAAACAAAAATAATAAATAAAAAAAAATAATTTTTTACAATTAAATTATTGTATTAATATTTGTTCGTTAATATAATCAATAAAATATAACAATAATGCTATTATAGCACTATAACTAAGCCATTTATGAGTACTGAGTGGTGTGGTAGAGGCCTGTAGGCACCCACGCCAGTAGCGCTATTCTGCCGCTTAAGTACATTTTATACGGAACTACTTCAAATATTTTAAAAAGTAATTAGTGTTTTAGAAAGAGAAATGTATTCTCCAGATGTTTTATTTCAGCACGTTTTGCATTATTGTTGACCGTTTAATTACAAACGACGCTTGATTTTCAACTTGAAAATTTTTTTGTAAAAAAAATTGACTTTACCGATTTTTTTTAATGCCTAAGCCAATTATTTTTTAATATTTTTTCATGTTTTATTATTCTCTGACTATCCAGCTTTAATAAAAGACCAACTATAATGAAATTAAGCCAAATGCTGATTCTCAGTAACAAAAAAACTAACTAAAGTCAAAGTCGTCAATCCGCCATGTTTGGACGCCATTTTGGGGCAGTTCGTTCACTTTTTTTTGTGGGAACATTGCCTTTTTTTTAATAAATTGTCACAAGGAACACAACGATATGCAATTTATAGGGATGTGGGGGGGGGTGCACGGTAAGGGGGTCTGGCCCACAGACTATATACTATTTCTACAAAGGCATGAAGAACATTAGAACTGGCTTCAGAGACCATGCAAACTACACTTCAGATGAGAAGAGAAATGTCATTGCAGATTGGGCTGGCTTGGATATATCGACGACTACGTTGAGATTGCCTAGGCAAATGCTGTACGGTCATTCTGGTTGGTGGCTCACGAAGGAAGGTAAGCCTCGTAACGATGGCTGGACGACGTGGAAGAGGACCTCCACCAGCTCAACATCAGGCGATGGCGAACTAAAGCGAAGGATAAAGAGGAAAGGAGCAGGATTGGGAGGAGGCGTTGGTTCTTAATGGATCCTAACAACATGCAATAAGTAAGTAAGTAAGTTACTACTCAAAATTATATTAAATTCCTTCGTATGTTAGATACATGTATTGAATCAATATTTTTTAAGTGGATGTCTCCTCCTGTTAGTCAAAACCGCCTGGTACCATTAGTTTGTAACTGCGACTTAGTGAATATATATTTATTTATATTTACATATCATGATTAAATTACTTTATTCACTTAACTTTTAATGGCCTATGTGGTATTTTAACCATTATTGTCATGATTTCAGTGTTGACCCGAAATGAAAAAGTAATCCTTGAGAGCTTTGTTCAGACAAAATGGCAATAAATGTTCACTTTCGTCCTCTGGTTTTATAATCATTCTGGTCCATTAATAAAATATATTATATATAATTCTTATAAGAACATTATTTTTAAATTAAATTTATTCCAAAACGCAGTAACTTCACTGAAAAATATAGTGGGCTTTGCTGTGCAAATGAAGGTCAAGAAACTATTATGATTAATTAACATGATTCCATTTGTTAAGGTCCGACGAACGGAAATCTCTATGCTCAAGCCTCACGGTCAATGGACTTCACACTTGAAAAACTCAGGTCGATGTAGGTGTAAATAACGTCGAAATAACAATGTAGTGCCAAAGGAGCGTCGGGCGTAGGAGGGCACGGCAAGATTCAATAGTAAAATAATTAGAAAATTAATATGAATGAAATGAAGTTATGAATTACATTATAGCTATTAGTTAATATCTAAAATAGTTATTTTGATATCAAAATAGTTATTTGAATGGCATAAATTGGAATCATAATCTATGAAAATAAAGTGTTAAGACCTCAGGCTTAGTTGAGGCAGCTGCTTCCCCCTCACTGCCAAGATTGGCCCAGTAAAAGGTAGAAGGTTTCTTTTTATTTTCTTGTATGAGATGCAAACTCCACGTTTTCGACTTCCGCATCCCCTCCCCTCCTGGATCACTTTTGAATATCTCAAAAACTCCTATATTTTAGCAATTTTTCCCATTCTACCCATGAAGCAGCACGTTTTAGAAAAAAAAACATACCATACATTTTTAAACTAAATTAAATATGCTATAATATAAGACCAGAACAGGATCGATAAATCAAATAATTTTCGAGATACAGATTTTCCAAGTTTCGAAAATTTTAAGATATTTTTCACGTTTGATTAAATATGCTAAAATTTAAGACTACAGCAGGCTCATTAATTTTGTTAGTTTTTGAGATTCAGATTTTCAATGTTTGGGAAATATTTCGAACTTGAAAATTTTAAGCTGTTTTTCAAGTTTGATTATATGCAATTATCTTCATAGCATCAATAACTGTCTGTCTGATATGAGTCAGTGAAGTCAATATTTATTCATTTTAACATTTTGAAGTAGGGGTGATGGAGGAGAGGAGATTTAGAGGAGGGAAATTGAAGGGGAGAGAAATTGAAATACAAAATTTATTTAACAAATATTTGCATAAAGTATATGCAACAAGTATAGATGAACATTGAATTAATTAAAGGTATTTCCTTCTCTTCAAAGAACCAGGGCCAAACAAATCCACCAATCAAAGATCAAACTTAATAAACAGCTCAGGTCATCCTAGCTCACTTTAATTCGCATTGAATATTAGATTCAAATAAATCAAAAATCAAATTTCAAATATTGCCTATCTCCCCTCTTAGGAACAAATTGTTTTGAGCTAGCTACCACCTCAGTTTGGTAGCAACAGATCAGCTAGCTTCTTACTGCTTTCAACACAGATCTTGGATTTACACAGAATTAGTTTTTTAATATAATTCAAAGAAATTGAACATTTCTAAATATAGAGCGGAGCTGGTTGATGGTAAGGTTTGGGCCAGTTTAGAGACAGATCCGATGACATTGGCGATCTCAGTGCTACGGCCAGGAATCTGTACAGTTTTTATTACTATAATTGTTATTTAAAATTTGAATATGATAATAAAAATTAAAAATGTACCTATAGAGGTATTTGTAATTGAAACAATGGAGGACCTTAAAAAAATATTATGCTGTGGAAAGATGACATCCATACATTTCTTCTCAGCAAGAAAAACTAAGTTTTTGTAATATAACTACACTGTTGATATTATCATATTACTACACTATAATAAAAAATTACTATAACACTAAAATCATAAAGAACAGTAAAATAAAATGAAAATTATACTAACAATATGGGTAGGTATCTATTTCTTTTTTTTTTTTTTTGTAATTATTGGTGAATAATTGTACTGAAGGCACTAAATATTTCTTTTAACAGTAAAACAATCTGCAATCGGTAAATATTACAAGATATTATGTTGCTTATTTGTTCGATATTATGGTAGTAGTTATTGTTCAAATCTAAGAATCCATAAACAAAATTGTAATTGAAAATTTCAAAACTTATCAATTTAGCTCAAAAACTTAAACTTGTATTTTTTTTAAACTTATAGTGTAATTAAAATCAAGATCTATTAATTTATTTTATTATATTTATTTTATTTATCACTCAGCTTCACACAAGTTTGTATTCTATGAAAGCTGAATATTAATTATAACCTCTTACAAAGTTTTCAGATATAATCTGAAACTATAGCCTCAAAATATATCTTCATTTAAATTACTTTTTCCAGAAATTCCTAAAGTTCAAAAGTATATGGTAACATTATATAATGTTGAATTTCAGAACTTGCCTTGGTTTGTTCACCACATAGGAAATTCCCAAAGAGATGGTATTAACATTGAAAATAAATATCTATTCTTCACATGGTTTTCCATAATTACTAATTGTTTTCAAATGTAATTTATACCTTAAACACTAAATGACATATAATAGGCCTTGTAGATTAACAGTATTTGGGCAGTAAACAGTAGGACAATAAACTTTAATTTTAAAATAAACAAATTAAATACATTTTGACCTCATCTGGCTAGAATGGGTACATTTTGAAAATCAATTTGTTTTCAAATTATAAAACCAATAATTACAATCTTAATCATATGTTACTGAAAAATAAACTGTCTAAAATGTTAAACTATTCGACCAGATGTACATATAAAAGGTACATGAAACATATAACTAAATTTACATACATAAAATACTCAAAGACAACCTTTAAGAAACAACATAATGTAGAACCCAATCAGGAATGTTTAAGTTTTTATAAATAAAATAAATATCAGGTTACTTACAGTGCCTTTTCCATGGAGGAACTTCATACTGTTCCAAATCTGGTATCAGCACAGAACCATTTTCAATATTCATTAAAAAAACATAAAACATAAATCAACACAAAACTTCAAACAAACAAAAATGTCATATGACATCAATTTCAGTAGTACCAACATTCACTTGTGGCAAAGTTAAATTTTCACTTCAATTACTCAATAAAATACACTCTATGTCAGTCTTAATTATTTAATAAGTAAAATATATATATATATATATATATATATATTTAACAAGTATTAGTAAATACTTTCATCTCACTTTACAGGCATTAAGAATTAAATCTGTCATTATTTGAACTTTTAACTTAAAAACTAATTATTAGTCAGTCCCACTATAATCTATCCTAGATATTATGTAATAGTGAAAGGAATTAATTCTAGACCATTTGTCATTTATTGGGAAACAGTCAGCATCATCTACTAATTTTCAATTAATATTTTTATTTCCACTCATTTCAGGGCTAAGTATGCCATAGAACAAATGCCAAATTACAGATTCAATCTTTACAGACATCATTTACTTATCTAGAAATACAGTGAGTTTTTTTTAATGGCCAGATAAAAAGATTTTCATTAAAAAAGTTTTTTCAGAACAAACAGCAGAAACCTACCTAATGAAGCTCCACATTCTGATATATTTAATTCTACTTATTAGTTCAATTATCTGTAATGGAAACTGATTTAGTTGTAGGAGTTATATTTCTAATCTTCCGTTGTTAGATCTTCTAGAATTTGGTTCAAAATGATTTTAAGCCATCAACTTGGAGGGGCTAGATAATTTGAAATAGACTAAAATGTTTCCATAAAGCAAAGTAGAGGGAAGAGTGACTCAATTTTTTATTTATATACATATATATATATATATATATATATTTTTTTTTTTTTTTTTTTTCTATGTAACACAAATTTTCTCTCTTTAAGTTAATTTGAAATCTATACACACATCACAAACTTTCACTTAGCATCCTATCTTGAGTAGAAATATATTTATTTTTGTTATTTTCATATACAGAAAAATTAGAGTGTAGACCATTGGGTAGTTACTCAGCAAGTGTTTTTCATGCCATTATATACATTATGTTCTAATTTACTAGATGTATTTTTTTAATACAGTTGTAAATGTCTTTAAGAAATAAAAAATAAAATAAATATACAGGAAAGTGAAAGTAAAATTTATAGATGGTATAAAATATTTAATTAAGCCAGATTCAAAATATCAAAGAAAATATAGATTAAAGTAAATATATACATACATGTTAAGAAATGATTACTTGTCGACCAGAAAAATTATAAAATATTTTAAATCATAAAATGAAGTGGATCTTTTAGAAAAGTTCTGAGCGTTATTCACAACAATGACCATGAAACATGTTGAAAAAAAAAAGAGTTAATTTTAATAGATATATATTACTCGTATACATATAAACAGCCAAGCTGCAAAAAACCTATGCCTATGTGTTATTTAAACGGAAGATCGGGAAGTCAGGGGCTCTTAGGTTTTTCCTCTTTTCAGTTTAAATTTATGACAAAACCTTATTTCTCCTTCAATTAATTATTAAATTCGTTCCTAGTTTATATTTAACAATTTTTGCTACTAGTTACAATGTGAAATGATTGATTACTTTAAATAAATAAAACCAAAGGCAATTTAGAGGAAGAAATTTTAGCATGGAATTTGTCATTTCCAAGAAGACAACACCTGCCTAATATTAAAGACCACTTGATTTTACATTAATATGAAAAGTTGAATCAAAATTTTTAGAGCCTTTTTTAAGGAAATTGTAAAAATGCGAAAATTCAATGATATAAAGTTCCACTTCCGGTTATTCAATTTTGACGAGTAACTTATAAGTTAACATAATATTCTCTATATGAGTTAACATACTAGGCATAGAGCTACTTTAAATATGTAATTTCAATTTTGTACATCCCAGGCAAAAAAACCAACAAATAACCCATAAAGATCTTGAGTTCAGTATTTTGTAAGGAAGTATTACTTCTTGGTAAATGGTTGAGCAAGGAGGTGATTTGACTGAGATCACGTTCAACAGCTAAGATTTCTTCCTTAATTAACTATTTAATTAAGGGCACACACTTTATAAAGGCTTGGTATGGCCTACGAGGGTCTCAGACCCCATGGTTGATCCAAGGCCAACTAGACAGAATAAATAATCTATCGGCCATGAGCAAGGACCTGAGACCATGACCATTAGCACTAGAAGTCAGCGCTCTACCACTGAGCTACCTCACCCCCCCTACGTCCTAAGCATATATATACCTATTTTAAATATGTAATTCCAGTTTGTAGTTCCAGTGTGTACGACTTTTCATATTTGAGCTGCTTTTTTTAAATAAATATTTAAATATTTGCCTACAGCCGAATACACTCAGAATGCAAAATACAGATAATCAGTATAATTTAACTTTCATCTTTAGCTTAATCACAATTTGCTGACATCCCAAGATGAAGCCATGCGTCACAAAGTTCAAATACATGTTTGGTTTTTTGTTAACCCCCATATTTTACTTTAAAACTATTAATAAATATATACATAAATTAAAATGTTACAAACTCATCTTTCAATATGTGAATGTTTGTATTTACATGTAATATCAGAGAATTGGGAGGGGGGAGGGGGATGTAGTAACTTTGTGATGCATAAGTTTGCCAGTAAACTGCCAACTAATTTTGGTCTAACTACAGATTAAAAGTTATATTACACTGATATCTGCATTCTACATTCTGCTATGAGACATATTCTAGTGTAGACAAATATTTATACATTGAAGAAACAGTTTTAGGAGTTACAAAATTTTATAATCAAGGAGCACCAATTTTTAAAGTTTGCTATTTATATTTAAGGTAGCGAATATAAAATGGAAAAAGAATATATTTTTAACAAATTTATTATAATAACAACAGTGACAATTGTATTAATAATTACATATGTATAACCTAACGTACAAAAGCTTGTTTAGACTTGGTACTCATATACATCAATATATACATTTTTGTGACCATATAAAAAGGAGACAATAAATTTTCAACAGTTCTCATAACAAATGGTTCAGTCATTGGCTTGTAGGTAGACCATGATACATTTAAATTTGTGATGGTTACAAAAATTACTCAAATAATAACCATTTTTAAATGACTTCAAAATTAAACTAATATTGTTGCAAAGGAAGCAGTAGTTTTGTTTTTAAAATATATTCATGAAAAAAAGAATACATAATAGAAATTCATAAAAACCTTTTTTATAGAATCACTAGAAGAAGAAAGGAAAATATAATAAAAAAAGTGAAACTTTTCCTTATTATTTATAAAATTTGAGCAGTATGCAATAACAACAGAGCAGTGTATCACTACTTGCACAATTTTCTACCAATAATGAAGTCTGTACCGGAGCTAAAATTCTAAAGTTTATGATCCTAATAAAACGAAAAAAATATATATATAAAAAAAAGAGAAGCTCTTTAACATTTTATTTGTTATTTATGTATTTTTTAATTATTTTTTTTACAAATATAATAAGCTAAAAACTGACTATGAGGGCCAGCCTCAGTTGAACAAATTTATAACCAATTATTATACATAATATGTATGTACATATGTATAATACAATGCAAACTCACACACATACATTTTCTGAATATGAAAAAACATGGGTCAAATTATGTATGAATTTATAAAAACAATTAGCATCTTTTAAAATCTAAAGAAATCATATTAAAAAAAAAAGTAAATACTCAATACTAATGCCATTTCTTTTCATTCATCCATCCAAAAGTTTACACTGAATAAACTTAAAACTAATTTTTATAAAATGCTGTCTCTTGTCAAAAAATGTTTTCTATTTACAAAAACAGACAAGACAGAACATTTTCCCAGAAACATACTACACAGACAATTTATATACAATATGGTGAAATAAAATTGTCTTAATAACTTACAATCTGTTAACTGAAAACTCTTAATTTTTTAATAGAGTTCATAAATGTTGTGATGAATTATAACTAGAAAATGTTATAAATATCAGAAGTTTGACTTCTACAGTTTGTAATCCACTTAACAGTTGTAAGATATAAGACAATAAACCTTTGATTATAAACAACTGGTAAAAGTTATTCCACTAAGACAGCCTAAATTTGAATGATGGATCTCACAATCGTTGAATATTATTTATTTGAATAATTGGATTGTCATTATATTATAATCATCTCTTTGGCTACGAATAAAGGCATCTTAAAGGATGGTGAGATGTGCTTGGAAATGTTTTATTGATTCCATTGTTTCAGAATGTTTAGCGAAACATATAACATTCTTGAATGTTAATAAATTTATAAAATCAATATAGCAACTATACAAAAATATATATATTTAAAACTTACATCAGAGAATATTGAAGAGGGTAGAGAATTGTGACATGTTTAAAATTACGTATATCAAGATAGCTAGTTATTTTGAAAAATTAATATATATTGGCATTTTTTTTATTTTTTTTTTTTTTGTACTGAGTTCTGCAAAAATACTTCTGCAATGATGTGCCTTCCATTGGAGATTTCGATTTTATATTATAAACAGTTAATCCTAATTTAATATATACAAGTATACACCAAGCAAGTCAATTATAAAATATATATAAAGACAAGCTTTAATGAATCAAGAACAACAAAATTACATGAAAAACAATGGAAATCATACACAAATCACTGTCATTCAGTATTATTACAAAACTCCCAGGATTGCAATTATTAATGGCACTCATAAAGGATGAGTTATCGGGCACCCTCTTGAGAGCAATGACATAATTATCACAATTGAAATTCCTCTACCCTCTTTGGTTTTACTCTACCAGCCTCTTAGAATAAATGCATTTAAGACATTGAACAGAATATTTTCTAATGTGTTTGAAAGGAATAAAGATAACCAACACGACAAACAATACCTGCTATTTACACTTAAAATATTAAACTTTTCACATTTGGTCCTAATTTGCTCCCTTCTCACTGTTCGTTAATTTAAAATTTTATTCCTCTTCTCTGTTTATCCTAACATTGAAATAAACAATATGAAAAAAAACAATGCCCCAAACAGAGAGAGTCCTGTTTAATAAAAAATGCATTGCAAGACAAAAATAAATAAATAAAATAAAATAAAAATTAAACAATATAGGCTTCTCAGAGTTTATTTATTTTATAATTTAGAACTTCTTAATTTAATTTAGAAGTCCTTTTATTATAAAATATATTTCATTCAACTAATGAACAAGATTTTTAATTATTGAAAAACTACAAGCAAATTACTTTTCAAAAATGGTTAAAAGGAATGAAACAAAGCATCTCATATAACATCAAAATATGAACCAATAGTTTAAAAAAGTAGTGAAAACAAAACCATTATATTAAAAAAAGAGATACAAATTATTAGTTTAGTAAGCAGAAGAGAAAACATTTAAAAATATTATCCTTATTCAAATAAAGGATAATATTAATAAAAATCATTATTTATTAACATAATAAAATATTAATAGAGTGGGTAAACAATTTTTAAAACAGTGGTAAAACCATTTTTTTTCTGTGTTGTTAGGCATAGTAAATATCTCAAATAATTTAAAAAGATATTAACCTATCTTCAGAGAAGCCTATATTATAACTTATAAAATATTTAACTTTTGTCAGGTGCTTTGGTATATTCCAATTTTTCAAAAACTATTTTTAATCTTCTTTAGACCTGCTCAAATAGCCATTGTTAACACCATTGCTATAACAAGCAGAAAGTTTTGAAGTGTAGACTTTTGAATAACCATTTTCTGATCGCCTCTCAGTTTTTTCAGTTTCATCATTTTCAACTGGCTGCAAAGGTTTAAAAAAATTTGCATTAAAAAATTGTAATTAAAATCAAATTTGATTTCTAAAGCAATGTTACCATAAAATAATATTTTAAGGAAACATTGCATAAGAAATACTAACTGGTTTATGTGATAATTTTCATTATTAAGCAATTAACAACAACATGGTATGATTTTCTTAATTCCCCTCCATTAATAAACCAGATCAACAGACATCTATTTTAATTATGCACACTCCATACCATAAATCTACTGATGCATTCATTATGAGAATGTGACTTATAAGTACTCATATAATTTGGATTTGTATTAAAATAAGAAACATTCAAAGATTTTATAAAATAGGAGGTAATAAAAATTAAATCTGAAATTTGATTATTGAACTAAATATCATCAGGAATCATGATGTCATTGGATAAGAAAAAACTATTATCTGACACAAATGCTAACATATCAAGGTTGGTCATGTTAATATTAAAATATGTTCATTTTATAAATCCTCAGTAACTTATAATCGAGATGGTAAGCAGATATCAATGATGTTACTACTACAACATAGCTATTATAATTAAAATCATAAGTAAACTTATACAAATAATTTTTAATATGATACATTTATTTTAAATAATAAAAAAACATGCTAGGAAGAGGAATAATAATCACATTCCAACACAAATTATATTTATTCTTCCTTCTTTAAAATATTTTATTGAAATTCGACAATTTATATTGATCAATAACAGAATGAAAATTAAAATAAATTAAGTTTAAGGTTATGTATGGGATAAATTGTATTTAGTTTATATATAGCAGACCAAAAATAGGTAAAGATTCATATTTATAAGTACAAATGTTCGCCCAGTGGTCAAAATTCAACCATAGCCATTAAAAATTTGAGGAAAAGATATAATTAAATAAAAAATAAAGTAAATAAATAAAGAGCGAATCATGATTTAAAATTTATTAATACAAACCTCATTTATTAATACAAACAAAATTTCAATTTCAATTAAAAATCGAGCTTAAGTCATTTAAAATTATTTATAAGTAATACAAAATATACTCATTCAAAAATATTTAATTTTCATTTTAAAATATTTAATTATCATTTTATCTGCAACAATTTTCATTTTAATTTATGTGTGTTATTATCACAATAAATTAATGTTATGATTAAGCAAGTAAAAAATAAATTTAAATTAGTAATTTAAATTCACTTGAAATCCATTTTTATTCAGAACTTCTATGTAAATAATGTTTTATTTAAATATTCTGTTATTGTTTAGTGCATAGCCCTGCCCATTGCCACTGAAAATATAAATTTCAATATTTTAAATGAACATGCTCTAATTGCTGCCACATATAATTAATTGTCCATGCGAAATTACTAGATGTCACAATAATATACCCATTTTTCAAAACTTTTATCCTGCGATTTGATAATGACCATAGCAAATGCAGCTATTAAAAGGAACATTGTTCTTTGAAAGTCAAATGTAAATATAGCGTCAGAAAATGTTAAATTAATTATTTGAATTAAAATTCTTTAATTTAAAGTAGCCCCTGTTAATACTTCAGTCTCATTCCTGTTCCATTAACTAATGCTTGTGCAGTATTTAATTTAACAATGAGTATAACTATAGAATATATTTTTTAATTTAATTTATTAGGTATCATTCCACTAACATTACATGATATCATCTCTTCAAATAATAGACCCAATTACCTCAGTAAATGAAAAGTTTTCCATTTATCAATAAACAAACAAAAAAAAGAAATGGAATTTGGAAGGGAAAGAAAAAGTACTAAATATTTAAAATGATGTATCTCTACAACAAATAGTCCGATTTCGATGATTTTTTAGGGAATTCAGGAACCTTTCAAAAAACTATTGGTATTATCAGTAAAAAGATACTGAATTCACTGACATACACAAGACACTGAAATACTGAATTTATCATAAAAATGTATGCAGCTTGTTTTCGGGAAAGTATGTTATATACAGAAATTATAAAGGTTTCAATGGAAGACTTTAGCCAAGTTTCATTGAAATCGTTGAAGCAGTCAGTATTGGCGCTACAGTCTAAAGCGAATCATGTTTTTCGGCCGCCATTTCGAAAGGAAGGGCCCGATAGGCCCCTTTCTACTTAGGCTTTCGACTTAGCTGGTTATTTACTTCTTATTCAAACATTTTTTTTATTTATAAATGTTATTAGATTTTAATTAAAATCCATAGCTAAAAATTTGTTTTCAAATTTTTCACTTTCCAAACTTGTAAAAGAAAAACTATATAACTATAAGCAAGAACAAAATTTTTTTTTTAAATTTTTAAATTATTAAATAATCAGAATTCTCAACTATAAACTAGTGAATAGACAATCTATATATAGTTTTAAAAATAAATCATTTGTATGCAATAAAAAAAATTTAATTATAGTTACCATGCAAGCTCCTTTGTTGAGCGCAAGCTCTTTTTCCTTTCTCCTCCCAATATATTTCGACCTATAGAAATCTGAGAAGAGGAACAGAAACAATACACCATGTAGACCAATCCAAACCATAAAACTCTGAAACAATAACATATAATATATAATTTCTATTGCAATAGAGATTTTCTTCATTGAAGACAATAAAATAAATATTAACAATTCAATTAACAAGGAGTGTTTCAGTGGAACTGATAAAAAAACAAAGTTGAGCTGCGTTAAAAAAAAAGTAATGGGAATAGCCAATTTTTGAAGAAAACTTTATTTTTTCATACATAACAGGGATTCACAACTTAGAACTTGCGAGCACCACTGTGTCCGCCTAACGTCACTCATGCCCATGAGAAAACTTGTACCTGCCTATCTCTAACATAACCTTTATTGACCATCGTTTTGGCTACAGTTTTATTATCAATATGCCTGCTGCATATCGAAATTTTTTCCATTAAATGTTGAATATTTATTTAAATAAATATCTAATAATTAATTGTAAGTATGAATGATCACTTTGAAAGTTGTTATTTATTTTATATTTTTTTAAAACATTATAATTATTTTACATGGCTTGCTGCAGATAGACGAGTTTAAATGTTTTACAATACCTTTCTTGAATATATGAATATTAAAAAATATGACAAGAGTTTATAGATATAAAAAATTCAGAAAGAATAATAATTCAAGACATAACCTACATATGTGCCTGCTGTTAAAAAAAGGTTGGAAAGCCCTGATAAACAACAATGTTATAACGTTCAAAGGAATTCCCATTTGATATATCCTATATCCTTAAAATTCCTTAAAGACTATATCGCCTTCAAGCAACTTCGAAACAGCACTCAGTCTGCTACACGACAAGTCAAATCTCGTTATTTCCATCTTTCCTTATCCAAAACCCAAACTCCAAGGCCAAGTAAGCTATCCCAAAAAAACTGACCATTTTTAACACACCTCAAACCCAGTTCATTTCCTTTTTTGCTGATGACCTTAACGCTCACTTTGTCTCCTGTCCCTTCTCATCCTCATCTCCTGTGACCATACCGGCTCCTATGTATTTCCCTTTTAATTTTAATCCTGATCACTTTTTTTCCACATATTATACCTGAAGACCTCCTCAACTCCATTCAGAAATCGCATACCAATGATTATGGACCCGATAACATCCCAGTCAGACTGATCAAAGCCTCACTACCATCCTTTTTTTTTTTTTCTGTCCTCCCCTTCCTCGCCTTTAAGGCTATACGGGAGTTTTCCCGGGCCAAGGAGTGTGGGCGGGGATTTAAAAACTCCTCCGGGCACCAGGACGCAAACTCGTGACTATTTTTTTAAATCAAATCTCATGTATCAGGTTGCCGGGCAACGACGGTTCTGTGCACACGCGTTAGCCCATTCGGTCACCCCGCCCACTCACTACCATCCATCCTTCCAATCCTCTACCATATCTACAATTACTCAGTACAAAATGCTACCTTCCCTACATCCTGGAAAACCGCACTAGTTCTCCCTATGAAAAAGACTTCCAACCCATTAACTCTTAATGATTTCCGTCTAATTTCTCTCCTTTCAAATCTTTAGAGCGATTAGTTCAAACCTAGTTATCCGACTTTTTAGAACAGAATAACATCCTAAATTCCAACCAGTCCGGTTTCTGGCTGGGCTACTTCACTCAGTCTGCCATCATCAAAATTTCCCAAAATCTTCATACAGCCATGGACCAGCAGAAACTCACCATCCTTATTCTCCTTGACTTCTCCAAAGCCTTTGACTCAGTATACCACAAAATTCTCCTAACCAAGCCTAAAAATATCTCTTTTTCAATTATTACCCTTAATTGGTTTCAATCCTTCCTTACCGGCCATTCCCAGTATGCTGTAGTCCATAATAATCCCCCATCAGAATCTTTATCCTTGTCCAGAGGTGTCCCACAAGACTTCTCCTTATCTCCCACCCTTTTTTCCATCCACACGAATGACCTTCCATCCTTCACTGTCAATACCATCTGTATGCCGACAACGCTGAGATTTACGTCTCCTTCAATCCGACCGAATCCTCTGACGCCATCCAAAAATTACAGAAAGATACAAATGAAATTTGTTCCTGGACAAACCACAATAGGATTACTCTAAACGCCAAGAAGACGAAAACCACCCTGATCGGATCTCCCTCGCTCCTCAAATCCTCACTGACACTCCGCAATCTTTTCCTCAACAACTCACCTATCTCATTCCATACTTCCATAAAAAAAACCTTGATGTTACCTTTGATCAAAGCATCTCCTGGAAACCACACATTTCCCAAATTTCCCGTTGTACTATCTCTACCCTGAAACAGTTTAACCGTCTCCACTATCTCCTTCCATATAAATCCTGTCAACTGCTGGTTTCCTCTCTTGTATTCCCCCACTTTGACTACGGCTGTCTGGTGTATGGCAGACCCTCAGGAGAATTCGAGGACAAACTTAAACGCCTAATGAATTGTGCAATAAGTTTTGTTTTAGGAATCTCAAGAGATACGCATATAACCCAATATTACACCATGTTGAAGTGGCTCTATCCATCCAACCGCCGTCTGTACTTCTTTGCTGACTATCTATACCAAGCCATCAGAACTCAGCGACCTTCCTATATTTTTCACAGCCTACAATTGAAATATTCCATTCAATTCCGTCACAATAGATTTCTACTTCCGACCTCTATCCATCTCCTCACCGAACTGCTTTGACAAATCCTTTATAATTCAAGCCTCCATCTGGAATACCATCCTTCCCAATATCCGACATGCCTAATCAGTTTCCTCATTTAAATCTCTAATTTTCAACTATGAACCTTTCCTAACCCATATAACTACGAAGAATTGGCTGAATTCAACAAATACAACCCGCAAATTAGAAAAGTCCCCATTTCTTTTTTAACAAAAGTCATTTGTTAAACATTTCTTATCAGTTCTTTAAATTATTTTAACAATTGTTTAAACTTGCTTGTAGAGTTATGAATGTATTAAGCTAAAATATCATGATCCAAGATGATTACTACAAAAAATTAAGTGAATTAACTGGTAATATACAGATGAAGAAAGGGATTTTATTTTCTATCCTGATCTCTTAAACAATGAATAAACTTATATTGTAAACATGATTACTATGTTGTAATTTTAGGGAATATATGTTTTACCCAATAAATAGTAATATAAATAATGGAGCAATGAGAAAGTAAATCAAATGTTTTTTAATAAATGTATTCATCAATAAAAAAATATTTTTAATTAAAAAAAAAATTAACAATACCTTTGGATAATCACAAGTGGTGAATAGAAGCTGGAACTGATGTGACATAATTAAAATAAACTGCACCATCTGTAATGAAGTTAGATACTTTTTCCACCAGATGTACCTGCAAATAGAATAATGAACAAATACATAAAAAATAAAGAAACAAACTAAACATATTATATAAAATCATGCTATAATCCTAAAAGCCCGGAACAGAGACTCTTCCTTAACATTACTGAGCCTAAACATATCACAGGGTTTGAGCAGATCAGTTAATGAAAATTTTCTCTCCCAATAGTAATAACCATTACAATAACAAATCAAATGTTTTATCCAATTTTTATACAAGGTTACTACAAAGTAGAAATCTATTTACACATAATTAGACTTTCCTAAAAATTATACACTTAAAATTATAAATTATTAAGTACACAAAAATAAATTATGTTTATTTTTTATGTGCCGACTTTCAGCCTAAGTTTCAGGTATCATCAGGGCTGCTCGTTCAAAGGATATCGTATGATTAGCTAAACACATTGATTTATTATTGTTGTTTTTTAACAATTCTTATAACCAGTTATAACAGTCACCTTATGTTGTCATTTTATACATATTTGTTTTTTCAGTTAATGTTAATTGTTCAATAAATCATGACTAACAAAACAGCTTTTTTTATTAACCTATTAACTGACAATGAAGATAATAAAGAGTGTCACTAAATGGGAAAAAGAAATAAAAAATAAACGATGTAGGAGCTTAAGTCAAAAGTGCAGAGTCTAGAAGAAACTTCCATTTTTATCCTTTCAACCCGAGAGACTTCTTATTGTTCTTGTTACTGTTGATGACTACTGAACGGTTTCAGCATCCACCGGGTGCCTAAGAACAAGCAGGTACTTGTTTTCCTTCATATGATTGGTGACAACACCTACCACCAATAACACTCATGAAGGACTCCAATACAACACGTTGCCTTTCAAAGTGGCTAACGGATATCTATCAAAGAACTATTGAGGATGGTCTTAAAGGAATTAAGGATATAGGAATATTTTATGACGACATTAGGGTTGGTTTCAAAATCAAGGAAGAATATTATCAACTCCTCCAACAGATATTCCATAAATCTGTTACTATAACAGTTCTTATAACCGTTTAAATGGTTGCCATCTGTTGTATTTTTACAAACATTTGTGCTTTGTCAGTTAATGTTGGTTGTTCAATAAATCATGTTTATCTAAAAAGCCTTTTCTATTAACTTAAAAACTATCACGTAAGCCATAAAGAATGCATTTAATGAATCATGTATGGTAATATACTACATGGTTATAAACTGAATTAATTAATTTCTTACTTTTGGTACTCTGGTCCTAATGCTGACAGCATGTAGTATGTATACATTATGATATGTACCAAAGTGTTCAAGAGAGCAAAGAATGTACTATGTCCACCTGTAAAGATAAATTTTATGAATTATTTATTATATTAATTGACTAAAGATGTAACAAAACTATGTTTATTAGTACTCCTCAAAATAAATTAATGTTTTAAGTTTTTTCTAGCAATATTAATTTTCAAAAACTAACCTATAAAGAAAATTTGAGAATTTAGCTTACATTTGAGGATGAACCTAATTTCAAAAAAAGAAGCATCTACCCTATATAAAGATCCTTCACTTTTTTCAATGTAATATTTCAAAAATTGACAATTTACAACCTGTTTTCAAAATGCTCTTTAAAGGTGAGCAGATAATAACTTAATATTTAGCCACTAGAAACCAGAAATGTTTTTAATTACAAATTACTTTTCATAATAAAGAAAAAACTATTACACTTATTCTACTTAAAACAGAGAAAAAAACATCAGGTCTTATTTAAAAATATCTGCATCATAATAAATAAAACGTTTAATCAGTAACTTTTTATTTCTAATATATTTTATTTTTATTTGAAACTGTAATTTCATGAAAAATAATTTTTTTTCTTCTAGATATGATGAAGAAATATACTGTTTAGTTGAAAAAAAAAAAAATATATATATATATATATATATATATATATATATATATATATATATATTTTTTTTGTAAAGATTTGAAAATCAAAATGCTAATATGATAAGGTGTTATCCTAACCAAAATCATGAAATTATAATGCATATTATGCATTATTAAAGAAAAGTTTTTTCTTCATTTCAATAATGTTTAAAAAAATAATCAAACTAGGATACCAAACAAAGAAATATGTTTTTAAAAATCTCTTGTAAAAAAAAAATATATCAAATTTGAAATAACATATTTAAATTTAGCTTAGCAGACTGGTTGAAATTCCTAAAACGAAATGGGCGAGGCCTAAAATGTACAAAACCTATTAGGAAACTTTCCCAAGTTGTGAGACAAAAAGGTGTTAATAAGTTTCTGTTTCAACTATCATATGTTCCAAGCATTGAATGATAAGAATTCAGGCCACAACAGAGCGAAGAGAGAATGAGTTAACATTAGGTTTTATCAGTAATTTAAAGAAAAAAAATAAACTTTACAGAAAAAGTATAATTAAGAATAGGTACTTCTTAACTCTTTTACGCTTATCAAATACAATATAAATTAAAGTTATAAAGAAAATGGTTGCCATAACAAAAATTAGAGGTTTTAAAAAAAAAAAAGGTATTATACATAAAAAAAATATCAAGAAAATGTTTTTATACATACCAGGAGCAAACTTGACCCCGAACCAAACTGACATAGGCATTATACCATGGTGAATCACATGAAGTGTTGAAACATGTTCTGTTTTTTTCCGAAGAATAAAAAAGAGCTGCAAAACATAATAAAACTTTAAGCAAATATCAATGGCACAAATATGTTTTGGTAGGCATATGGCAGCCAAGTATCGAGGCCCGTTAAATTTACATTAAATTTTAAAATGTGGCTGTGTACTATACATAATAACACAATTAATTAATCGTATTACTAAATCTAATTAGGGCCATCAATTTTAGGATGGAGAACCAAGGCTTTCATCAGTCACCTTGACACATGTTCCTTATGTCTCTCATCAATACCATATATATTATGTAAAACATACAAAATACCAGACTTAGTGCATGCATTATTACTCTAAATTATTCTTAGCTAGAGAACATAATGAATAACAAGAGAAAAATTCTTAACAATAAAAACAGTAAGGGTAAGTTCCTAAGCTCAACACTTACTCATCGATGGCATCCGAAATCTATTAGACTATTCCTAAATCCATTGATGTACACCATCAATAGAATTCTGCGGATTACTTTATTTATTGATTAAATCACTGATGGTTTAGCAGTTTTGTCTGATTTTAGGGTCGAAGTCCACTGAATGTGGAAATCAGTATTTTAATTTCTCAATTTATTTTACATATTTTATTCAGAAGACTCCACATTCACATTCAGAGGTCTCTATTTATTTCTGTTTCGAAATTCAATAATCTTATAGGTAGGTATTTCTTTATATAAATACATATATATATATATATATATATATATATATATATATATATATATATATATATATATATATATATATATATATAAAAAAAAGAAAAATATATATATATTTTTTTTTTCGTGTTTTATTATAGCCTATGGTATTATAGGCTATTATTAAGTATTATAGGTACTCGTATAAAGTATTATAGGAAACTTGCCCTAATCAGAGAAAAATAATGGAGCTTGCCATGAAAAAATATTGCTTTGTAAATAAATACATTTATACAATGTTTAACATCCCTTAAAAGGAACTAATAAGTAGGCATTATAATTCCAAAATTGAAAACAAACTTTAAAATATTTAAATATACTTCAACTACTCACAGTATCAAAAAACTCTGTAAACTTTGAGAAATAGTACCACCAACACGTAGCTGCCATCTATAAACAGAAATAACACAATCTGATTAGTATAATCCATACTGAGAATAAAATAAGAAATTAAATGAATGAATGAAACATCCTAAAAATAAGGGTACTGTCTTTAGTAAAAACAATTTTTTTTTTAAGAGGTGCTAACAGTACAAAAGGTATTTAAATTCATCACGAACTTATGCATGATAAAAACTGACAACAATTAGAAATAATTCGGTGTTTTGAGCCCAAAATGTATTAAACCACTCATGAATCACCAATGTTAGTAGCTCCAAGGACAGCCTTTATAAGTTCACTCTTTCTTTACCTTCAATGATCTGATTGAAGATCAGTTTCAAAAAGTTCAGAATATAAAAAATGAATAACACCTAAAAAAATCTCTATCTTATTTTAACCAATTCTTTAAAAATTGTATCAGTTATTATAAATCTTCAAGCATGTGTTAATTTGAATTTATTCATTTCTGTTAAACAAGACTGAGAACTAATACCAGTGACAGTTATATTTTTTCTTTTATTCTTAATCTTCTTCGAATTCAGAAATTTACTTAGTATGTAAAATTATACTACCAATTAATTATTTTTGTACAAGAAATACTTGTTTTATATGGTCTCATCAGTATTGTTTATTAAAAATACAGAATATTTTCTCTTTCTCATTCCTAAATCTCAGTGAACAAGTAGAACCATCAAACTTAGAAACCATTCACGCTGTTCTCTCAAATAAACATTATATACATTTTAAAAGGACAGATTGGACAAACATAATATAATAATTTGCCAGTCAGAGGTATCCAGAAGGGGATTCGATGGCGCAAGTTTCGCCATCAAAATTTTAGAGACAGGGGGCATTTTTGGATGGTGAGATTTTGATTTTTGGTAGGGTTTCATTTTTGATGAACTTTGAACCAAGGAACATGGGCAAACGCATGAAACAGACCACAAGCAAGAATAATTGTAAATGAACAAAACTTTTTTAATTTTATAGGTGATAAATAGTTAGGACACAGTAATTTTTAAGGTTTTTATTTGTGCCCCGAAATAAATAAATATGTCGAACAGTCTTCTAACTTCCTTCAATAATTTTCTTATTCAATTATTTTACTTCAGTTTTCAATGTTTTTTTGTTATGCTACGAGAGCAACATCATTTCTAGAATGAGGGGAAGGGCATGCACTATCGACCTTGGGAGGACCTTCCCTGCTGCCAGACATGATTTCAAAACACTCACTAGATCTCAGTGAATAATTTGAGCTATCGAAGTTAAAACTCAGTCCAGCCTTCCAGCCTTTCGATCAAAACATCATAACTTATGTTCAATTGTTCAAGCTAAACACATTAGCCCCTCAGCGGTTGAAAATAGATGATGCTTCGAGAGAGGATTCCCAAGAGTTCAGTTTGATACCCAACTCATTCAAATATTGTTTATTTGGCTGCAATCTCGAAATGAAGTAGGAATCAGCAAAAAGAAATCCTGCTGGTGACTAGTACCACTCCATCAGTACCAGTTAAGTAGTTAGGTAATTATTTATTATACGCATATTTAATTAAATCATTACGTTCAAACAATTGAAACTGCTAATCATTTCGCTATAACGAGCCCCCCTCTTCCTACTCGCGTTGGTAGGGAGTTTGTATTCGAATTTTAATAGATGACCCAGTAAACACAACATACTCGATATTACTTATAAAAGTAAGAAAACCGATCAAAATCGAAAACAGACGCAGAGTACGCTTATCGCGGCCGAGGAACGCATGGCCACGGTCTGAGTCAATTCCTCTGCATCCTACAAACAAGGAACACGTCGGGTCACGGATTTATTATTTTATTTGACCGTAACCGGTATTATTCGTAGGGGCCCGGGCGAGCAACAACAATCGGAAAATGGTTTCGATTCCTGTTCAGATAGGGAAAATCGTGCGGGAATGGGGAATTCAGTCCAACCAGTTATCGATAACTATGTAATTGATCAGTACTTAAAAAAAAAAAACGCTGCAAATTATTACACAATGATTTATTATTTCCATTACTTTCCTTGTCATATACTGGAAAAAAAAAAAGTGATTCCTAATGTAGACCTGAATAATTTGTTTTTCATCATTACAATTTTGTTAAAAAATGGAGACAGCAATCTCAATTGCTCAGGTGATGTAAGACCTTCCAAAAATAAAAATAAAGAATATCAATTTTGCAACAAAACATGTAGCGGATATTTAGAACGTATCGCTGTACCAAATCGTCCGATTTAAACGATTCTTTTTTTTTTTTTCTTTTAGAAAGTTTGTGAATTTTTAAATGACCACAACAACGGCAAAACCACCCCTCGTAACTTTTTTTCCAGCTTCTTTTGGATGAAGTATGTTATATAGATAAATTTAAAAGGCTTCAAATGAGGAGACTTTAGCCAAATTTCATAGAAATCGATACATTCGTTTAAGCGCTACAATCTATAGCTACAGAAGTTTTTCGACTGCCATCTTGAAAAGAGAGGACGGATGGTAATGCTGAGTTCCGAGGATTTTCCTCGGGGGCACTTTTTCCTCGGGGGCCCTTCGACATTGATAGCAAATCTCAAAAAAATGGGTCCAGTAGTCTCCCAGCCGACGTACGGCGTGCGATCGGATTTTTTACAATTCCATTTTTGGATTATACGTATCTTGAAACGTGAAAGGTCAAATTTTGAGGGGGATTAACTTCTTTTTTTCTTGGTCGATTACAAATGTTGATTGTTGAGAATAATAAACAAAAAATAGCTAATAAATCAGAAAAACAATATTAACATAAGTGAAATTGATGCTAATGAACATTTAAACTTACTACTGTGGATGGATGCCTTCGACTACACATTACGGGTGGTCTAGACAAATAGATTTTATGCAATATTTCAGTAAATGTCAACATCCGAAAGAATCTTGTTTTGTTGGTGTGTGGATGCTACCCGAGTACTACACCAAGTTTAAATTTTAATTGATCTCAATTTCACTAACAATTTAACTATTCAAGTAGAATGTACATATATTAAATCTTAAGTGAAATAATCTTGAGGTAGGATTATTTTTGCCGTTTTTTTCTTGATTAACTTTTTTTTTTATTAAAGTAATATTGAAGAAGAGTTCTTTCAGTCAAAAATAAATAAGTGATTAAATAATAAATGAATGAATAAAGAATAATGAATAATAAATAAATAAATGATTTCCTTGTTGCCCATCTCCAAAAGTCCATTTCCACCGCTAGTCTCTGTTGGTGTCCGATACAGCGTTTGTCGTTGTATCGAATATAGATTTGTATATTAGCCTATTTGTACTAGGCTGTACATTCCAGCTCCAAAGGACGCCATGGAGTGCAGGGACATTTTTAAGAAACTCAGTCTTTTTAAAATTAATATTTAGGCGCAACTTTTCATATGATTATATCACTTTTCTGAACATGATGTACATTCTATCCTGGGCTATGATTACTTGATCATCAGCAAACAATAAATGCTATTTTAATAACTTATAATTTCATTATGAATTACTGATTATTCACTTAAGGCTATTTATTCTTCCAATGTTTAGCAAATAAATAAAGAACCTAACATAAGAAAGGTCACTTACCATGTCAGTAGGGAAGAGAAAAAAATAATAAATAAAAAACATGGATAAAATAAAAAAAATATAGCCGATCGCTAATAGCAAAAGGTCAATGCCGAGTTCGACAGTGATACCACGCAGGAAAGATAATTTATAACAAGCTTGTACGTGATGAAAAGAAGTTGGAAACTTTTCCTGGATCATTAAAACTTTTTATATAATAAAAAAAAAGATGAAGAAGGCAATGAAAAAACGTATAGCGATATTTTAGCTCCAACGTACCTAAAGCAAAACTTAACTGACATGAAACATTTACACTTGTCATGTTAACATTGAACTCCTTCTTCATTTTTATCAACCGACATCTTTATAAACAACTGTTTAAATAAATAATTCGTATCGAATTAATTTAATTACACCAATATATCAATCGAAAAACGAGAGAAATCTGGAATTTTCTTCTTACCCCACAAATAGCTGCACATTAATCAATAAACACACCCTCCTAATGCACACATCAGGGTATTAGAAGTGCAGGAGGAAACAAATTCATTGTAGAAACGAACGATCCACCCAAAAATTTTATCATTCTATATCCTTTGACAATGTAGATGTAAGGAACCAAAATAATGGAATCAAATGAATAAATTAGCGATGCAGAGAAATAGCAATACTTTTAATGAATAGTTAAATTACGAATAGTGAAATTATTTATAACTAATCGAGTTTAAGTTATTTCTGAAGATTTCCTAAAGTTTAGATACGAAAAGATTAATCATAAGGAACGTGATAAAAAAACAGTCAAACTTTGCGTTGAATATCATTAAGCCTGTTCATACTTCTTAATCCAATAATCCACAAAACATGTGAAATTTTAAAGAGCTATCGGAAGGAAAACAACAGACCTTTCCAAGCCACCATAAAAAATAATAAAAAGAAAAAGAGAGACTGGTTTGGTATCAAGGTCGTAACTAGAAAAAACTAATAAAATGTAGCTTCCTAATTATATCTATAATGTGGGAAAATGTGGCCGTAGATCTAATTCTTATTCCTGGCCTTCATAATTCCTCCCAGGGGGAAATACACAGACGTTCCTACCGTGCACTCCCCTCTCCCCACATTCCTATAAATTACATATCGTCAGTGTTCCTTGCAACTATTTATTAAAAAACAAAGCAAACAAAAAAACAGTCAATGTTCCCACAAAACAAACTGAACGCACTTAGTTACAAGAAATACAACGATATGCAATTTATGGAGATGTGGGAGATGGCCGGTAGGAGAGTCTGGCCCGGCAACCATTGGGTTAGGTGTCTTAGGAAATACCGGGACCTACGTTTAAAAGTACAAAAATACACCATTTTCGAGATAATGCAGCTTAAAAGTAAAATAAAATATAGTTGTAGTGCTTCCATGGTATACATATCTCATGTAGTAGACTAAGATCCTATTAACCAGAAATGGAGTTTATATTATTTCTCAAAGGTGGTTTTTGTCGGTATGCCGTATATTTTACAATTCTTCATCAAATCCAATGATTTTCTTCACCTTCGGAGGGAAGAAAGGGGATTTATTTTGAAAACCACAAAAAGTGTTATAACTTCAATATTCTTCCACATATTCACACGAAGTTTTGCAGAGATATAGGGCCTTAGGAACTACACGAAATGATGCAAACTGTACCTTCCTAAATAATTTAAAACTAAAGTTATAAAATAAAAACCGTTAGGAGTTTTTATTCATTTACTCTTTATCGACTTGTCAAATCAAAAAGTTGTTTATATGGTCTTGAAGAGCGATAATTCAGTTTTCCAACAGTTGTAGAAACATTGAATTAGGATAAAATCCTGCGGACTTATGATGTTTTATGTGTTAGTTAACGGCAAGCAAAAACATCATAGTCAAAAGTGAAGTCGTTGACATGCCAACTATCTCAGCCCAGCTCTTCTATTATACATATTATTTCTAAAAGGTGTTTTTTTGTCGGTACACTTTTTTTCCTGGCTGATATAATTACTTTATTATTTCTTAAATACATTTGGTTGTTCTTACATGTTATTTTTTTTTTTTTAATCATCTAGAAAATAATCATCGGGGTATTATTTTGTCTTTATTACTTTCATTATCTTTCCAGTCAGCGTTTAAAAATAGGTCCTGGCAAAACAATTTGTACAAATATTTTGGTCGTCTATTATGTTCAATAGTTCAATGAAATATTGTAATCGACCAAAGAAAAAATATTAATTCATTCCTTACATAATACATAGGAACTACTTATTTCCACATTATTTTGTTATTTCTTCACTAAACAAAATCGTCTGCGAATTATTCGCACGGACCAACTAGCATTCTTTATAAGAGAGCTGTATTATAACCCGTTTATGAGGCATCAACTATACATTTGGCATACAGTTATAGTATAAGTATTGGATTGGCAAATAAGTCCTTTCGGGTTTTCATAGTGAAATAAAACTCGATGTTTTTAAATTCGATGTCGATTATTTAATATGACTTTTTCCCATCTTTCCACTAACTGCATAATGCTATGTTCGTAGAATGTCTTGAGTTTATTGTTAAAAAAACTGATCCAAGGGGTTTTAGATGTCCTCTTCCTTATAGAATTTCTCTTCATTAATGGAGTTCTGCAGAGACCGGAATAAGTGGTAGTCACTTGGAGCTAGGTCTGATGAATAGGGAGGGTAGGGCAAAAGGTCCCATCCAAGGCTCAATAATTTATTGCGAGTGACCAATGAGGTGTGGGGCTTAGCGTTGTCTTGGTGGAACAAAACACCTCTCCGATTTGTAAGTTTTGGGGGTTTATTTTTAGTTGATTGATCCAATTCTATTAATTGTGAACAGTACAGAGTTGAATCAATTGTTTATCCTCATTGCAATAGTTTATAGAAAATAACACCCTTGGAATCCCATCATATGGAAAGCATCATCTTTTTTGGATGCAATCCATGTTTTAACATTCTTCTAGAAGTCTCACTACTAGATCCCCAAGATTTTCTACGGACTACATTATCATAAAATATCCATTTTTCATCTCCTGTTACCAATCTTTTCAAAAGTGGGTCAATTTTTGGTCGTTTCTGCAGTTAATCACAAACAGAAACCGAGTTGCCAAGTTGACTTCGGTTAGAGAGTGAGAGACCAAAACATTAAGCCTAGAAACAGCCGAGCTTGTACAACGGTTTTGTACGCTTGTGAGAGACACATTTATGGCCATTGCAATCTACTCGCACTGATTGGGTGGGATTTTGATTAACAATTGCCTTAACATTGTTGAGTGACCAGACCGTTGAAAATCATTTATATCAAAATTTTCTGAAACCTGTTTTGACAGGTGCAATCGGTTAAGGCATCATCCCCATAAACACTGCAAATTTTTTTACAAGCTTCTGCAGCAAACTCACCTTTTTTAAAATAATGAATGATATTTTCTTTCATATTCATAGTGCAATAGCAAATACAATACTAAGCTAGTTTCAACAAGAGTTAACAGATATAGTTGTTGACATAACGGGATAAACAATCCACCTTAAGGATTAATTTATCAGAAAAGAAGTGAAACACAGTGACATCAAAATAAACAGAAAAACAGAAAGGAAATATTTGCCAACCCAATACAATGTAGAAAACGATTTGTCCAACCAAAAGAGCAACGTGGGTTCAAATATTTTTTAAGGGAAAAAAATGATCGCACCTCTGATTATTTAAAAGGTTACTAAATTCTCTACAAAACAACAACAAAAAATCATCGAAATCGGACTATTATTATCAAGGACACAGTTTATTTTAATTTGTAAACATATTCGTTTGATTGGTCCTTGGTTGATTATAATTACCGAGCAAATAAGAATTGATTATTCTATCCATCATTTCACGTTGCATCATTTTATTTCCTTATTATTTTATCATTCGTTCACTCACCAGTATTGGAATTGTTCGCATGGGCCAAGTAGTAAATCATTAATACAAAAAATATGTTAAACGATGAGTTATTTATTTACATCAGCTTATTTAGTTTCGGTCATATTTTCAAAAAAAGTTTAGTAGATCTAAACCTCTTTAAAAAAAAAACTTACTACCACTTTCTGTAACATTTTTCAGAGCGTTTAAAATTAGTCATTTTCTTTGATATTGTAACATGGTAAACAGGATTTTTTTACAACTTCCCTTTCCTTATACTACTAGACGGGTTCGAGTCCGGTAAAAGGAAAATAATTAATTTGTTCTGTTACAAGCCGAGTAAGGCTTGTATAAATATTTTTTTCATTATTCCTAATAGAGATTAATAATTATTATTGTGAAAAGATGAAAAAATAGTTTGTTTTAAACTGCAAAATAAATATCATCATGATCAAAGAAAATAAAAAATTCTTGGGTAATTTGCAAGTGATACACTTAAATTTAAGAACAGTATTACGTAAACTCATTTTAATCAATAATTTATAATCGTAATTTCTAACAGTAAATTTGTCCGCTCGCATCCTCCAGATTTTGAGTGATTTTAATTGAATTTCCTGAATAATTCTTTAACTTCCCAGGTTAAAAACAATTTCTAACTTATCCAAGCATTCCAGTTTTCCAGTTCAGATAACTGTCAACGACTAGTTACAAAAACCACTTTCATGACTGTTGAATCGTCTATATCTGAACAGGCGGATGAATAGTATCGATAAAGCCTATTTCAAAGAGACGTTATTTATAAAACCCCAGCTGTTGAACAGTATTAGCTATGGTATGTTCAGCTAGAAAATATCATTTAGGTCAATGGTTCCGGAGACGGGGAATTTCTCACAAGTGCCTCTGGTTACAACAGCTGATTTATAATTTATTTCTAAATCAATCAAAATTAAAAAAATATTCAACAATACGTATTGAAACATATAATATAAATATACATCTTTAGTCAAATGATTGATATTTTCTTAATGAAGAGAAACTTAAGATAATTACCACTTGTTCAATATGTAATATGCAAGATTTTGTATAACCTTTGAATTCAAAGATTATACAAAGGTAATTATATCAAGTTTGTCATAACTAAATGATTTGCATTCAATCGACTATTACGACGAAAAATTTACTTAAACTGCAGTTTTAAGTGAAACTCCTAGATGAACACACCTCCCTGATGAAGACCTGCAAAGTCGGGTCGAAACGTTGGCTTTCAATAAAATAGTTTTACCACTATTTAGCCTATTTATGACCGCAACCCAGGACCATCTCCTTCCTTTATATACTATGTAGTTCACAAAATTATTAATATTTAAGAAAATAGATTCCAAACTAGTAAAAAATCATAAAATATTGTAATTTAAAAATAAATGAGCTTTACATATAATAATCCAAAGATATTCATAAACCATTTTAGAAAAACGATGAGTATTCTTCTAAATCAATAATAATGAATAAATAAACATTGTTCTTAAGTTATGAAGAACGTAATTTCTAATGCGGTTACCTTATAGCCTAAAATCATTTAGAAATATAGTCGTCCTTCAAACTAGAAACTAATAATATGGAAATTACAAATTGTATAATAAATGTAAATATTCCCTATAATTGTGGGTTGATGGTTGACTGTCGTGAATAATAAAGAGAAGGATAGTTATGGTAACCAGTCAGAAATAAAAATAAATAATAATAATAATGTTAAAATAAATATTATTATTTATTTTTGCCTTTTAATTTCTGACTTTTCGACTACTGTAGCACTTACTAGACAAACGCTCTAAGCTTTCAATCAATTACAAACGACTCATATATATGACAATAATAAGACCTATTTGGACTTACGGAATTGAGCTTAGGGGCTCCACTAAACCATCGAATTCCTCTCGTATCCAATTCTTACAATCCAAAATCCTTCGTAAAAAAAAAATCTGACTGATCACCCCAACCATCCTTCTCTTCATCATTCCCTATTATATAATGATTTTCTTTTTCCTTGGTGGCGTAAATTAATTTTCACAAGGTGATTCATATGTATGCTATGTGCCATATATGTATTTTTTAAAATAGGTTCTATTAAATAGGAAAAATACTTATATTAAAAAAGAACAACTGAATAAATTGGTAATATATAAAAAAGTAACACATACCCTTAACGCCACTGGACTGTAAGAATAATCCACAGGTTGACATCTGAAACTGTATTCGCCCCACCATCCGGACATCAAATACTAAAAAAAAAACAAATAATAAATATGATTAATATTTGTAACGCAAATAAATATTAAGATGTGACATAATTAGAAAAAAACTATCTAGGCTCTTTATCCTACGACTGAATTATTTTTATTTTTAATAAAAATAACCTAATAAAAAAAAAATCCTGTACCACTAAAATCCATGAAGGGTCTTGGGTTCGGTACTGTGAAGGGAAAGTACTTTTTCTTAGTCAACGGCTGTGCAAGAAGGTGATTTGAATGAGATCACGCTCAACCGCAAGGTTTTACCCCTTAATTAACTATTTTAATTAAGGGTACCCACTTTATAGAGGCTGAGTATGTTCCAGGAAGATCTCCTGATCCCAGGGTCGCCACACGGCTGATGAAACAGAATAAATAATTTGTCTGCCATGTGCCGGGATTCGAACCCAGGACCTAGAGCATTAGATCAATGTCCTGCCACTGAGCTACCCAACTCGTAAAAAAAAAACTACTAATATTCCTTAATTAGGATGTTATTATATTCGTTACATTGGTACTACATTGTTACTAGAAAAATCATCAAAACTAATTTTTTTTTAATTAGTTCTAAACAATGTTGAAAATTCCTTTGCCCTCAGGCTTTTCTCCATTTCTCCGGAAAAATTATTTTTAAAAAATACCCATGCCTATTTTATAAAGGTTCAAACTTAAAAGAAAAAAAAATTTACAATACCATACTTTCGATTAATGGAAACAGTGGAGACGAACGAAAATGAACTATAGATCATGAATTCTGCTTCATATTTGAAAATTTGGTTTGACGAATGAGCGTCTATTTTTACGTTCACATATATAAAAGATATAGTAAAGGAAAGTATTGCGAATGTGAAAATTTTCGAATATCAGTTTTCAAAGGAATAACACGTTTTGAGGTCCCCGGAGTCCTAATAACCAAGTTCCGTAAAATGGTCTGGGTGTGTGGTCGCGCGCGCGTGCGTGTGTGTGTTTCAACAGCCTAGCTCAAAAACGAAAAGTCGTGCGAAAGTGAAATTGCATATTTAAGGTCATGTGTACACATGTTACAGCAAATTATTCGTCAAAATCGGCTAATCGGAAGTGGTACTTCATATCATGGACTAAACACATTTTAAAGATTTTCTCGAAAACGGCTCAAACGATTTGATTAAAATCATTATGTCAGGATCAGGCTGTTTACAATAAAATGTAGTTTTTCATCTGATTGATGTTCTCTAACAGGGCTTAAATGGCTAATTTTCAATATTAGGTTCCCCTAAAGTGCCTTTAATTTTTTTATTTGAAACAATTGACCATTTCACATTCATCTCTAATATAAAAGATGGGTAAATATAAAATATGAAAGAATTTTATAATTAATTAAAGGAAAAATAAGAGATCGTAACAGAGAATAGTTATTATTGAGGAACCCGAAAGATTATATCACGCTTCCATACGCAACATGAGGTTATTATAATATGGACAATATTATATAAATATAAATATGCGGGGTTCATAAATGCTACTGTTGGTATTATTTAATATTTAATTGTATAGATTACACCGATATAAATATTAAAATTTGTATATATAAGGGTACTTATACAAATAAAAATAGCCACAATGAAATATAAATTAATAAAGCGTTTATAATTTTTACTTTCACTTCCCCTTTGTCAGAAAATATTTATTTCTGCTAAGAGGGTGGTTAGTGAAACTTATGTGATGCGCGCACCGCACCATGTTTTGATTTTTTTTAAGAGAGTAATTATTTTCTATACGGACGGCATGAAATCATGTGCGAAAACTTAAGACCAAATACAATGAATGATGGAACAAGTCCCAGCCATTTAGGAATTCAATTTCTATGGCTTTCGGTCCCAAAACGTATCAGGCTCAACGGTATTAAAGGGAAAGTTAAGGACAGTAGTTCCTTATATTTTTCTTTAGAAGAGACCATGATGCACCAGTCTCAAGGAGTGTTACATAAATTCCTGGACATTAAGCAAACTATTAAGATAGCAAAGGCAGCAACAGATTAATAGAAGACATCTGGATTATAAAAGCAAAATCAATTTCCATTCATTCAGGGGCGATACCATTAACACCGTATAGTTTTGGTATAATAAACTGGTCAACTAAAAAACGTCTAGAGAAATGGATAGCCCTGTACCTACAATGATGGCGGATGCCAAAGTATCACGAAAAGCGCCAGCATGGCTAGATTCTTTGTCTAGGGAAGAATTATTATTATTTAGAATTATTTGTCTAAGAAAGAAAATGGTTGTGGTCTTATTTCGATTAGAAGATACATGTTGAAAACGAGAAAACTTCATGACTTCTAGGACACTTAAAATCAACAAAACATATATAAACACATAAGACGAAGAAACAAAACATAGTAGCAATAATAAAAGAAAAGGCTCTAGATTAAAAAATAGACAGTGTTTTAGGTTCAAGGTCAATCTCCGGCAATATCGGACTCCAATCTCCGGCATTATCGGGGTCCAATCTCGCTCATTTCATTTGTGTTTACTCGGGTCTGGATCACTAATTCTAGATAGAAAAGGAAAACGATAAGGAAATAAGACAAACGTAGAAATCATGAACAGCTCTAAGAAAACTATTTGTGTAGAGATGTCACAGGGTGCTAGTATTACGTTAATAAATTCTTAGGTAATTTTACTTTCTAGTGTAAGTATAAGTTATGCTTATCTTGAGATCTGTTTACTTAACGCTTTGCGAAAAGTATTTAGTCTGAAGCAAGCTCCTAAACTTGATACATATGTTGACTTCATTTGTTTGTATAAGACGCACACTCCTGTGTTGAGGCTTCAGATCAAGTTGAAGAGGACAACAAGACAAAAAGACACTGTCAATAAGCAGTTTGAAATAAAATAATTCAAGACAAGATCTTGTTAATTCTGGTTTCATAGATTTATTTTTAAACTTGTGAGTAGTGTTGCCCAATTGTGAGACCGAGACGAGTCTTGGTTTTGCAAACTCAGTCTTGGTCTTGCGCAAGTCTCGTAGTTAGCTATTAGTGTATTGATATAGAGATATTACTATATTTTTTTAGATAGGAGAAATTTAACTAAGCCGGAATGAAATATAAGTAGAGTTAAATGCAAAAGTATATTGTTTATACCAATTCTTTACATATAATAACTAAAATTGTCAAGTATTAGTAACTATTTTGCCTTGCAACAGTTATGTGGCCTTGGTCTCGGTCTTGCAAAGTGCACACGATTTTGGGCAACACTACTTGTGAGAGGAAAAGCATGGCTAGAATTAAATTTAATGATTACAGAGCTATGGGGCTCCACCAAACCTTCAAATTCCTCTCGCATCCAATCCTTACAATCCAAAATCCTTCGTAAAATCATCAATGCTCTTTACTTTGTTACAAATAAAATTATCCATAATGACCTTAATGTTCCTTATGTATCAGATTTGGCCCAATCCAGATATCTGTCCTTCCATAATAAACTTCATAACCATCCCAACCCTCTTGTCTCTAACATTGCTTTCTATTCGATTCCTGTTAACCCTCCGAGGCGTCTGAAAAGAAGATGGCCACGTGATCTTCTAATATAGACATATTATTAGAGTGCTACCAATGGGAAGTTTCTCAACATGTGTTCCATGTCATTATATCCATGTGCGAATTTACCAGATGTATTTTTTGTATACAGTTGTAAATATCATATAAATAAATAATAAAAAAAAAATGATTACTATTCAACGATGAATCTTACAAGTAAATCAATATCTGACTTTACTTCATACATACAAAATAAACATATGCGAATGATAAAATTACAAATACTGCATAATTAACTAACATAAATATTACATACGATCTGTCACTTATAATTTCATATAGGAACATTTACCGACTTATTAAACATTAGAAAATTTTCCATTCGTAAATATTTTTAATTATAGCTTTAATCATAAAATCTGATAACATTAAAGCATCAAATTAATATCGAATTTTCTACTAAAAAAAGTAAATTATAGAAGACCAAGGTTTTTGATAATAATATATATATATATATATATATATATATATATATATATATATATATATATATATATACGAAAAACAGTCCACAACATTACAAAAAAAAATTTTCAGCAAATAGAATCTATATGTTTTTCTAATTTCAAACTTTTCTTATCTCAGCTCTTATGACATAATAAGAACATGAACTCAAGCAATACCGAACGTCTATTCAAAACTGTTCAAATCTATCCGAATTTTAATATTAATGCTCGGAAATAAACCTTTAAAGTATGGGGAAAAGTAGTCCGTAAGACGTTGATTAAAAAATCATATGAATAAAAAATAATGCATGTACTTGTATATATTCAGAAAAAAAGGTCCTTCTACTAAGCGATTATGAACTTTAAAAAAAATAAATAAAATTGAAGTGAAGGTTGAAGTTGGCCTCGTCTTAGTTACCTACTTAGCCGAACCTCAATACAAAGTAAATGTGGCGAATAACATGTCTACCGATTGTGCTTATTAAAATTTCTGATAAAAGATATTCTTCATGGTATAATCACATAAATAGTGTTAATAATTAGACTGGTTATATGCTCGTTATATAATACTGGTTAGACCCACACATCCTGGTAACAAAGTATTACCTTGTTTTGTATTAACTTGACCATTAGTCGGTTATCGAAGGCTGTTTTTTTTTTAAATACAATCGATTATCTATTTTCGATAGTACGGTTGAGGATCGATTTATCTTTTAACGTTTTAGTTTTGTGAGATTAAAATTATAGGAAGCATAGTATTTCAAAATAATATCGCTATTTAGATAAGGTGCTCGAATGTTAGATTTTGTACATTTTTAATTATATCAAGATCTAATAAAATAGATATCTCATAAAATATTAGAACTCGAAACAAATCAAATTAAATTTATCGGGACCCCGCAACACTCGAGTATCAGTTCGGGAATAACGAAGAGCAAGTCAGAGCAACAAGTGTCTTAACTTTC